CTTCCTTCCTTCCTTCCTTCCTTCCATCATACCCTGTACTTACCAAGTTATCAAGTACAAAGCTTAGAATTCACCTTTCATTTCTCCTTCCTCACCACCCTCTCTCCTCGCTTGGAATCGCCAGTTCTGTCTTCCAAACCCATCTCCCACGCTGTCTTCTCACCTCCGTTGGTAGATGTGGGCATGGCGTCTGCTGCAGCCTTGTATTAATGAACTGTCCGAGTCTCCTTGTGCACCTTGATTGTGAAGACGTAGTGTGGAATGCAAATTGCCCCTGTCGCCCTCCTGCTGTCCGCCTCCTTTTAGATCCAAGTGGGCCCTTTGAATCCTGATGACAGGCACAAGGCGCAGTCTGCCCTGTTTGCCTCCTGCCTCAGTTCTCGCCTCTTTGCCTTTCACACTCTGTGCTGCAGTTGCTTTTCATTTATCTCGCTGCCTGGAATGTGTGAATGTGTTCACTGCCTAGAAAGTCTTCCTCAAAACCAGGCGCTCTCCTGTGTGGGCGCAGCCTGGCACCCTGAGGAAAGCCTTGCTTACCCTTCCCTGCACTGTGTCCTGGTACCAGCCTCTCCTCCGCTTTGGCCCTCGTCGCATCACCCAGGTACCTTCCACAATACCATGAGCTCCGTGAGGGGCAATGTCCTTAAGCTGCATGGTGGTATCTACCAGTAATCTAAGAGTTAGGGAGGCTGAGACAGGAGGATCAGGAGTTTGAGGCCAGTTGGACTACATAGTAAATGAAGCATAGTCTATCCAGTGACAACAGACCAATAAAACCCAGACCAAAAAAGTGACATAGTTCAAGTGTTCTCATCTCCAAGCTCACTTAGGAAAACATTTCATTGCCGATTCTCTTGCTGGAGGGGTGGAGCTTGGGAGAAGAGTAGGGCTCACCACAGTGTCAGCTTCACGGTGCCCTGTGGGGACACCGGGGGAGGGGATGTGGGGTAGGCATGTCGGGAGGGTAGAAGAGGAGGGTGACAAAAGAAGCAGTGTGTACATATTACACAGGCGTACAGCTGCAGGTAGTCCACACAGGAGCACTGTAGTGAATGAATTAATGGGAGCGTAACAGAGTCTCCTTCACACCGAGGGTGGATGTGGGCGTTGGTCATGCCAGGAAGGTTTTGGCAGATTCATCAATGCCACAGAAGCCGAGTCTGCATGTTTAGATGTCCATGCTATGGGCGGTGTTTCTGTTACCTCTAAAGACATTGACACCCACTACTTTATGCCATATTTTGATCACTAAATAGTAGGTTCTTTTCATGGCATGTAGAGTTGCCTCAGCTGACGTTCTGGAGTTCCCTTTCATATAATTTCACGGTGAGAGGCGCCTCCTCTCATTACAGGACACACACCCGTGCCTGGGCAAGTGGATCCCTGCCCTCGTGGAATCCTGAGGCGCTGGGTAGAGAGGGGTCAGGAGGTAAACTGAGGCCGTGTGTCCCCTGGGCAGTCATGGAGGAAGCGCTGTGAGTGGTGACTGACTGCACGCACGCTTGCAGAAGGCAGAGTGCCCGCGGATTTCACGCTAAGCACAGGGAAACGTGGCCCACCGCAGACCACCAGCCCGAGGGGGCGGAGACACTGGGGTAGAGTCAGGAGACTCCGAGTCCTGAGACTGGAGACCGGAAGCGACTCCTCCACACACTGAGGCCGCAGGCTCTGCTCCTCCGGAAGGCAGCAGCGGCCCACCTGCCCTGCCCTTCCAGAACGTGCCATCGGGAGCATGCCCACGGCCACTCTGCAGTGACTGACAGCTGGCCCAGGCAGATGACAGTGGGTGGACACTGTGACAGTATCGTGGCGTCCTCAGGAGTGGGTCGAGGGCTGGGCCGGTGCCTGTGGAGAGGCAGTCTGCCTGCTGCGAGGAAGGCACATACACACACCTCACACACTCACACACATAACACATCCATCCACACAATCCACACACAACCACCCACATACACCACACACACAACACACATATACAACTCATGCACACCTCCACACACATATACAAACACATCCACACATCCATCCACACACATCCACACACAATCACACACAACCACACACATACACCATACATATACAGCACATGCACACATCTACAACACATGCACACATCCACACATATCCACATCCACACACACATCCATCCACACACATACCACACATACAATACACACAACACACATATACCACATACACAACACATAAACACACAACACAACACACACACAACACACCACATCCACATCCACACATATGCCACACACACATCCATCTACACACATTTACACATCCACACAACGTAACACACATACATATACAACACACACACACATCCACACAAAATATAACACATACACACGCAACATCTGCACACATCCACATCCACACACAACATCCGCACCACAATACATAATACACCATATACACAATACATACCACACATACGCAAATAACACATCCACACAAAACATCCACACACATCTATACACCACACACATACATCAGATACACACACATACATACGCATACACAATAACAATAGATAAATAGGAAAGACTCGGTAGCATGAATTTCTCTGCTGTCTTGGAGTGAGGCTGATTTTTGGAGCAGGAAGAGGAAGTGAGGAGGCAGGGAAGTTGCTGGCACGTGATTGAAATAGCTGCCCTTGACAAGCAGAGCGAAGCGAGGACACCTAAATCAGGTCGGAGGCCCCGAATCGCGACACACCCTCATTTTGGACTGCACTCTTGTTTGCCATCATATCTTAGCCCAGTAGGGTTTGACACATTTTGTTGTTGTTCCAGTCCTGCAGCTTGAACTCTGGGCACCTGGGCGCTGTCCCTGAGCTTCTTTCATTCAAGGCTAGTGCTCTACTTCTTTGAGCCATAGCACCACTTCTGGTTTTCTAGTGGTTCCTTGGAGATAAAAGTCTCACAGACTTTCCTGCCCAGGCTGGCTCTGATCCATGATCCTCAGATCTCAGCCTCCTGAGTAGCTAGGATGACAGGTGTGAGCCACTGACCCTCTGCTGGGTTTGCCGTGTTTAAACAGTTCTTTTCTCCCCTGCCTTTTGCCTGTTGGCATTGCTCTACTTCTCCTCGGCGTGGAAAGCACCACAGGTCTGCTTTGGGGATCACAGCTGTCAAGTAAAATGTAGTTCAATTGTCATTTGCTTTGTGACCCCCCGCCCCCAAATTCCTTGTGCATGTATGCACACATGTGCACACACACATGATTTGTTTTTACTGAATTTTAAATTCCTCGAGGAAAAGAATCCTATTTTGGACCCAGTTGTTGCCATTTCACATGATTTCACAATGCTAGTGCAATTACTTTTCTGTGGTAGCGTGTGGTAGATATGTGCTGAACAGGGATTGCATTACACGTTTATACTAAACATCTGGATGGGCCCTTTGAAAGAAAAGAATATTGTTTTGCCTTTTTGAAAGCAATCTAGAAAGATGCTTATTTGCACTTGAGAGATTTGGGAGGTTCTGGGGTCTGCCCGGAGCTATGCAGTACTTGTCTCGGTGGAAGGTTCTAGAACGGGTTTTCACAGGCGTGACTTCTAAAGAGTTTGTTTGCCCACATCTTGGCTGATGATTTGAAACATCGATGCCTTGCAGTGTCATTTGTATGAAAGCAGGGAGTAGGATTTCTTGTTCTAGGATCTGGTGGCATTGTGGCCTTGGGCCAGTGCTCGACAGGCAGGTGGATAACTCTGCCTCACCAGCACACCCTGCGCCTTCTCACCCAAGTGGAACCCAGTCACCGGGTGCTCGCTGGCACCGACCATGTCCTCGCCAAGACTGCTCCATCCCACCCAGGTCCCAGGGATGCAGCACATGCCGTTCTTCCTTACTCAACCACATACCCAGGGCTTGGCCCAGACAGGGCAGGACCCAGGTGTGCTGTGCACACTGGGCGTGCCCATGCTGTACTGGGGCCAGTGCTTCCCCCATGTGAACAACAGGAACTCGACGACATCTAGTGTTCCTCAAAAGCTTACCAAAGACACAAGAGAAAACCCGAGAACACAAGCTTTAAGAACAGTGCTACATATATAATACTTCATGTTCACTTTAGAGTCTTTTTTTTTTTTTT